ACTGTTCCTTCTCTGGAGAAAGGAGCAGAGTTGGAACTTTTGTGGGGCCACACAGCTCTTAGACATTGGTCCTATTTAACAATCGCCTGTGACACTGAGCACACTTCTGTGGGGTTGCCAGTCTAAAGCCTTTCCACTCTGTGAACTTCTCTCTGACAAAGGGAGGCAGAGAATGTACATAAACTGTGTGTCCTGGAAGCCAAGGGAAGAGAGAATCTCAAGTTTATCCATGGTAGTAAATGCCACCGAAGAGTCAAAGATAGTGAAGGCTATCAGCGAAGAAGGTCATTAAATAATAGGACAATTATGCAATCACTGTTGAACTTTAAAATACCAATTTCAGAGATGATGAGGGTAGACGGTAGCTTACAGGAGTGAAAGGAGTCAGCAGAAGAGGAGGAACTGGAGACGGGCAGTTTTAGGCTGCGGGGGAAAGGGGGAGACTGTAAGGACAACTAGAGGATGCAGACCGTGGTGGAAATGTTTTTATTTGCATGGGGGAATGCCACACATGTTGTTACACAGAAGAGAGAAGAGCTGGCACCAACTGAGGAATAAATTTCATGTGCACGAGGCAGAGGGTGACGAGTTGGGAGTAGGCAGGAGGAGAGAATCCACTCATCAGTCGATTTTTTTTCAGCCACTGTTATAAATTGTCCACTGTGTTTTAGTCACTGTGTTTGAGCACCATGGTGAGCAAAACATAGCCACATTTTATGCTTGTGGACCAGAGTCTGATATGGAAGACAGACTTTAAGTAAATATATGTGTTTATAGTTATTATATACATATAATATAGAGATATTATATATTATGTATGGCTACATATATTATAATTATATAGTATATACTATATACTATAGTATAACTATATACTATAGTTATGTATAGTCATATATATACAGTTATTATATACCATGGAAAATGCTGTGAAGGAAAATGTTACAAGAGCCAAAGCAGAGAAGTCAGCCTGAAGCTAAATAGTTGTATAAAGTCTTCCAAATCGAAGAAAGTAACAGTAGAAGAAACATATGTATTGATAATGTTGAGGGGAAAATAATCTTTACCTTTTTAGTGAATAGACAGACTGAAAATTCAGAAGAAGGAGGGGAATAAGACTATGTTTGGGGATTTGAGGGTGGGGGGAAAATATATTGGAATCCATCCATGGACATCTGATGCGATACTAGCAAAAGAGGAATATATGTGCCAAGAAGCATTAGAACCTATTATGAAATTAGATAGTATGACCCCATTGGCTTGGCTTTCTGACACTCTCAAAGAATTCTTACCAACCCAGGGTAGATGCGTATAAAGTGAGTGATGGGCTGGGCAGAGAGAGCAGGCTGGTTGTTCTCAGGGCCGGCACAATAGAATTCAAAGGGAGCAAAGCATTCAAAGTCACTAGAAAGGACCTGGTGTCCAGCTGGCCAGGGAGGTAAGTGGATCCTAAAGGGCATGGACCAACTCACTGAGGCCACACTGAGGACCAAGAGATTAGAGAAGAGCTGAGGAACAGGTCGAGGGGAAAGAGAAAGGGAGAAGAAGACCTGATCTGAGCGGGAGCACAGACTGAGAGAACGATGAACTCTCAGGTTCAGCCAAATCAGCTGGGTCAGTGATGAAGGGCATTGGGGCCAAAGAGGTTTAAAGAACATTGAGGCTGAGGGAAGATGGGAATCAAGGCCTGGAGAGCTTTGCTAAGAGCAGTTAGAACCCGGGGAACTCTGCGCCTTAGAGGAAAACTTCGTGAGTTTTCTAAACCAGATTCTTGTATTTGTACACGTACTGTCAAATCTGCGTGTGCGTGTTCATGCACACACCCTGACATGCATCTTACCTGCACGTGGTCTGGACATCTTGAAGTGACGGCCGGTCCCCAGACTTGTTGGACTGTTTCCTTCAAGCCCCGATATGCTGACTGACGGCCTCCAGCTGTAACTCAGGGTGGGTTAGAGGGGGGAGCAACCTTCCCTCCGCTTAAGTAGCATTTACCAAGCACCAATTTCTTGGAAAAAAGATAGAACAAGGGAAATTTTCAAATGTAGATTCCACTTTTCAAAGGTAGACTCAACCTTTCAGAGTTGCTTAGCAACTGGTTGGATGTGGGCGAGGAGGATGAAAGAGAGTTAAATGCAGGAGGAGGCAGAGAACTCTCCTTGTCTCTTTGCTTCTTGTCTCTCCCCACCCATTTTACAGATGAGGAAGCTAATGGTCAGAGAAAGGAAGAGACTCATCCGTACCCACAGGACCAGTAAGTGTCAGAGCCAGGGTTTATTACTAGGTGTGTCTGTCCTGGCACATTCCACTGAAGCAGGATAGTCACCGGCTAGGAAACTGCTTAACAGAGGACTGAGGGAGACTGAGGCAGAGAGCTAAATAAAGGCGGAGCAATTCACGGCCAGCTAATACCTTGCAAGGCCTTTTTTCCCTAACCAAGAACACAGGAGCAAATGGGTTACACCTGTCCACCCCAACCAGCGAGCAAGCAGCTTCAATCACCCTGGTCATGCAGCGCTGCCCGGACTCGGGAAAGGAAGTCCGGGTGGCCCGAGGCGGCTCACTCCTGTTACTGTGACTTCCTTTCCCGAGTCCAGGCAGCCCAGCCAAACTCACTCCTGCCGCTGTGATCTTGCCTTTTTCTATCCTGAGCCATGACTTCGTTTCAATGTCTCCAGCTTTAACAAATGTACTCTCCATCAGCTGGACTTGAGAAGTCCTTCCTGCGGGAAGTGAAGAAAGCGTACACCCCGGTCTGTGCCAGGGCAGGCCTGCCTCGGCCCCAGCGCCTTTCCAGTGGCACCACTGCGTCGCACGCCTCCCCTCCCGCCCTTCTCTGCAGGACCCTCGCACGCTCCAGTCACTGAGCCCACCACACTCGGCCCTTCTCCCCTTCTCTTCCTCACCTCCCCCGCGTTGTGGAGGGTCCTTGTGCGCGCTCTTCGACCCCTCCTCCCCTGCCCGGCGAGCAGCGTGTCCCAGGCCTCCCGAGTGCCGTTCACAGGCAGGCCGGCAGCCCCCCCAGCCCTGTGACACCACCGGGCTCACCTGCCAGCTTCCCACTAGGCGGCCAGTTCTCTGAAAAGACAGAGCCTCTCCGTCTTTTTATTCCCAGTGCTTCGCACGGTGTCCGACCTAGAGGAGCTGCCCAACAGGTATTTGTCAAATGAAGAGCTGTATTGATAGGCCTCATGTTTAATTCCAGGTTCCATCCTACAGTCAATAAGATACAATAAAATGTCAACAAAGGACCTTATAACCTGCTCTATGCCATTACTATTTAAAATCTTACAAAAATAAAAGCATAGCCCTGGCCAGTGTGGCTCAGTTGATTGGAGTGTCATCCCATAACCGAAAGGTTGTGAGTTTGATTCCCAGTCAGGACACATGCCTCGGCTGCAGGTTTGATGTCCGCTTTGGGTTCCATTCCAGGTGCGTAGGGGAGGCAACTGATGGCTGCTGCTTCTCATACTGTTGTTTCTTTCTCTGCCTCCCTCTCTGTCTCTCTCTAAAAAGTAGTGAAAAAATGTCCTCAGGTGAGGGTAAAAAATTAGAAATAAAACCATATCAGAAACCCACACACGTGCACTTGCTTGGATCAGGGGTCAGCTAATGATCTGCCTGACCTTGTTTGTCTGGGCTTGCTTTCTGAGCGCAGAGTGTGCGGGAACATACCGCTTTGCCATTTCATCCTTTTTACCCTGAGGCCAAGCCCCCTGCCACAGCTGCTTAGGAGGTGGAGGTCTTCTCTGGAGGTCACCTAATGAAATCGGGAGCTGTCTCCTTAAGAGAAGATTACTCCGGTAAATAAAAAAGCGCCCTGGAAACCATGGCTCAGGTGGGCATGCTGAGGACATGCAGCCAGTTTCCACCCCAAAGAGAAAACAGTCATGGGCGCCTGGGCTGGCGAACCTTCTGTGGCTGCCCCTCCCTCCCTTCCTCCCTCCTTCCTTCCCTCCCTCCCTTCCTCCCTCCTTCCTCCCTTCCTTCCTCCCTCCCTCATTCATGCAGCGCTGTGGGAAACCAAGCTGTGAAGTGGGAGTTCACAGTGTTTTCACTCTCACAATATAGCACCTTGGCCTCACATGAAAAGAAAAATTTAAATTATACTGGAGGTTGAAAAAAAGATTTTTCACCTTTTTTTTTTTTTTTGGAAATGTTGCCAGACCCCTTTAAAACGGATTGCCATATTCCAGACTCTTTGTGAATCACACCGTGCCATACTGGGTATGGGTTTGCTCAGGGGCGTAAGCCTTGAGTAATGACACACGAAAAATCAGGGAGATGACATGAATGTGACAGCTGCTCGTCTGCTGTCAGTCATCTTCTCACCAGAGAACACGGCCCACTCATTCTGATATGTGGCACCTCAAAAGATTTCTTGCCAAGCAACAAAGTATCCTGGAGGGATATCAAGGCCCCACTGGTTTTTATTTAAAAGTTATTAGTTAAGGCCTCAAAGACATGCAAGAAACAGTATATGAAAACGCCTATTTCTGCTAGCAGTCGATGGGTCTTCCCCGAAGTGATAAAAATCACTGTTCTCCCGTTGGGAGCCATGGGAAGAATCAAGGCATTGTACAGATTACTTAAAATTCCACTGTGCCCACACCATTTGGCCGAAGAATGCTAAGAATCTGCAGCTGCGGCTCCCACGAAAGGTTTGAAAGGTTCCTAAAGGGGCAGCAGCTGCCACTTAACACACAGCTGTTGTTAATTTGAAGATTTTTAATTGCCTTTGTGTCAAGATTTATTAAATAACATTTTCGAGGACCCAAAACTGTAATAGTTGTATTAGTAGGTGGGTGAAAGAAGAGAAATAACTGGAACTCAGCATTTTGGCCTTGTCAGTCAAGTCTGAAAACATCTTTTCCACGGGACCGGCTTCCGGCCATCCCTGGAAGAGTTTCTGGGTGGGTCTGGTCCCGGAAGCCCTCGTGGTCTCTGCAGGAGTGCGCCCCCCCGGCCCCACCCCGTTCCCCTTACACGGGTACCTGGAAGCACCCCTTCCTGAGCGGCCTTCTTGCATTCCCACACTCTCCGATTCAGTTGGCTCAGCAGACAGGAGCCGCGGTGCTTGGAGTGGACGCAGCATTACCGGGCCGTCTTCTGCTCCTTCTAAGTGGCTGGCACTGTTTTGACAGCCTCCGGTTCCCTGTGGCATCTACCCGTCTACCCGAAGCCAACCTTCCCTCCTTGGCTAAGAGCAGCTGTGGGGATGAGCAGAAGGTAGAAAATGTGGGCTTTAACTTTACTTTCTGCCAAGGCAAAGGAGAGGGAATGAGAGGCCCTTCTACTAATGAGAAACACAACTAATGTCCCTCAAGAGAGAAGTTGCCAAACGTCCACAGAAAGCAGCTTTGAATACGAAGAGAGGCAAGCCAGGAAAATTGGACAATAAGTCATAAATCCTCACTACCATACTAAAATCTCAATCATGTTGTGCATTTTCAAGGTTCAACCTTCCCCTTGACAGGAAAACCTCAATTCAGGTGGCATTTATGGAGCTCCTACTGTGTGCGAGGCGCTGTGCTAGTGAGGGACGTGGAGACCAAGTGTAAGACGGGCCAAGGGCACCCAAGTGCTATGTAAACCACTCACTCCACCAGAGGTGAGGGTGGGAGGGCCCATGTATGGCAGAAGGATGACCAGGAGGAAGGAAGCGACTTCCAGGCTGAGGACCTTGAAGAGCAAAAGTACAGTGGCCTGGAAAAACATAGTTTATTGAAGGGACAGTATGTGGTCGGACATGACAGCATCGGAGAGATCAAATGCAACTACATTCTGGGAGGTTGGCTGTCCCTCTGGGGGTTGGATTCTGTTCTGTGGGGAATGTGAAGCTATTAAATGCTATGGAGCTGGGAAGTGATACGCTTTTCAAGCAAACAGTCCTGCCGGCCGGTCTGCTGGACTCCAAGCCTCTCAAACTCTCGCCCTGCAGAGCAGAATGATGGCCAAGTTCGTGAGCTTGAGGCCCCGAGCTCTGCCACAGCAGGGAAGGGAGCAGGGGTTGCCTGTGAGCCGGCATCCTGGCTTCAAGTCCTAAATGTGCTACTTACCAGCCTGAGCCACTGGAGCTCATTTCTCTGAGTTCATTTGTCTTTGCTTCCCCATCTGTAAAATGGGGATAATAATAGTGCCTGACTCTTAAGACTATTTTAAATTAATACACGTGAAATGCTTTGAGTAGTGACCAGTACCACAAGCTCCTGACAAAGGTTGCCGATTATTATTATCCGGTGTAAAATCTTAAAACTTAGCAACTAGTTGAAGTGGGAGAGGTAAGGGGAAGAGCCAAACATGTAATGTTCATCAAAGGAGTATGGTAGATAATCAGAATTCATAATAATAACCAGAAAACAGCAGAAAATCTCATTAAGGGACATTACACAATAACTGGAGAATCTTCAAAGCTGTCAAATGAAGGAACTCTTGCAAACTGAAGGCGACCAGAAGGGCAAGACAATGAAAGGCAACGCACGACTTAGAACTTGATCCACTGGCTTTAAAGGACACTGGGACGACTGAGATAACTCCACTGAAGTTCAAAGGGCGTCTGCAGGTGTAGTTACGCAGAATCGTGTGCTTGGTTCCTTTTTCGAAGGAAGTGACCCCATAGTGTTCTATAGTGACGAGGCATCCGTCCAACAACTTTTCCTCAAATGTTTCAGAAAGCTTTTTGTACTCTGCTTTAAGTCTTCTGTGACTCTGCGGTTTGTTTGGAAGTGAAAGGAGTTTTAAAAATGAAGAGCTGGCATTTGGTGAGCACTCACTCTTTAGTGGGCGCACAGGCAGATTTGGTTCCCCAGGAAACGTCTCTGACTTGGATCTCTACCAAAAGGGGGTCCTGCGGGCCTCCGAGAGCCTGCTGCCACCTCAGCTCCCCCCTCCCTCCGCCCCAGTAGACCACCCATGGTGACTGCTTGCTGGTCTGTAACCACTGCCCCACCCCCCCCCCCCCACTCCCGCCCCTGCCCCCAGCACAGTGAGCTCTTTGAGGGCAAGGACTGGAACCCATTCTCCATTGTACCCACAGCTCCCGGTAAATCAAAAGTGCATGTTACCTGTTTAATGAAGGAGGCACTGAAGCTTGCCCACCGTGGTGAATGCAGTTGAAGGTGACACCAGACTTAAGGATGCATGTGTGATGCCTGACTTCTTCTCTAGGTGGCCCGGGCTCCGGCAAAGGCACGCAGTGTAAAAAGCTGGTGGAAAAATATGGATTCACCCACCTCTCGACCAGTGAACTCCTGCGCAATGAGCTGCTGTCCGAATCTGAGAGAAGCAGGCTGATCAGAGACATCATGGAGCGCGGGGACCTGGTGCCCTCAGTAAGCAGCCGCTGCCTCCCCGGGGTGGGGTGGGGGAGGCACGGTGTTGTGCTGCGTTCAGTCGGAGCCGCTGCCACAAAGACACCCAGAAGGACAACGGCTGCATCTGTTTCTCCCTGAGGTAGCAGACCAGAGACGGGCAGGTCTGTGTTGTCTGGGCCCAGGTTCCTGCAGTCTTGTTGCCCTGCCAGCTCCCTGAATATTAGCCTCTTTCAGATTTTCCCCCCAAACTGGTTCCCACTTTAGAATTAAAATCTTTAAAGCAGAGTTGAGCCTGGTACAAGAGAGCCTAGAATTACAACCCTCTGTAAAACAAAAAATAAAGTTTCTATTATTTGGGGGAGTACAATAGCATTATCTTGAAATTTGGTATCTTCCTTGTGTAATTTAAGTAAAGAATATGTATCTTTTTATGTATCATCTTTTATATACTTTTTTTCTTTTCAAGTCACCATCCATCTCTGAGAAGCTGGATGCCAAGAGGAACAAAAACATTCATTCTGCCACACTAAGTCCCAGGGTCTCTCTGTCCTCGGGCCTGGGCAGTGCAGTCCCCACTGGCCAGCAGAGCTCTGCTTCCTCCTCTGCCAGCTGCGGTCTGCTTCCCACCTGGGAGGCAGAATGGCCCTCAGGAAAGAAAATGAACCATTGAGGTTGCCTCGAGCCACTTCCCTGTGGCCACTCTCTTCTCCCTCCAGTCTTTTCACAGCAGACAGAATGATTTCTTGAAAGTACTATCAAATTGTGTCGTTCCCTTCCCCAGAACCTTCCAGTGGCTCCTCACCACACTTAAAATTAAATCCAGAGTCCCTCCTGTGGGCCTGGCCTGCAGCTCCCTCTCCAACACTGTTTTCCGCCTCTCACCTCCTGCACACCCACCCAGCCACTGTCTTCCTCCTTGCTCCTCCCACTGGCCAGTCTGTTCCTGCCACAGGGGCTTTGCACTTGCTCTTTCCTCTGCCCCAGGTGCTCTTTACAGAATCACATAGCTGCTCCTCTGCTGCATCTAGATCCCTACTTTACCATCGCAATTGATCAGAGAGGCCTCCCTAACCACCCCGTATCTCTTACCTCTGCTTTAATTTTGTTCCTAGCGGTCCTCTCCAGCTGACTCTTTTTATGTATTTATTTGTTCATCTGTTATCTGTCTATCTCACTAGAACATCAGCTTCCCAAGGAGTTAATTCACCACTATCTAGGGATGGTTTCTGACCACCCCTGTGTCCGTTGCAACCTCCAAGACCCTGCCAAAGCCAGGGAGCCCGGGAGCAGAACCCCTCCCACCCATGCAGCCAGGTGCACTGTTCCTGTATCCATCCCCACCCTTCCCCGTAGCTCAGGTCAGATCAAAGATTTTGACCGAATGTGATATTGCTAGAAAATGCGTTTTCATATTTCCTGGAAGTCTCAAGTTAGTGGGTGTCAACTTTTATAAAATATTTACTGGGAAAAAAAGTCAACAGTAAAATGCATTTTCTACCATGTTTTGCCTAGTTTTAAGCTGCCATTATGTCTCATTGATGGGGTGCTAGCATGCGAAGTGTGACCACGTGTTTTATGTCACCAAAGATGCCATTATTTTAAAACACCCCAGTAAAAGTAACAAGTACAAACATACCAGACAGAAAAAAACACCAGCAATTACATTGTGCCCAGCACCGATTGTAAGATACCTGCCAATTTCACAGACACTAGAATGTGGGTTGGGAGAGAGTGAGACTTAGAATTGAGGACAGAGCGTACGTTGCTGTCTGCTGTCGGTCTTGTCTGAAGCTTTCGCGCTTGCCCTGTGGCACTGGAGACCCAAGGCAATGCCGTGTTGTCGGGGGAGAGTCAGGCCCTGACCGCCGTCCCTCCGCTGCAGGACATCATTCTGGAGCTGCTGAGGGAGGCCATGGTGACCAGCCTCGGCCGCACCCGGGGCTTCCTGGTCGACGGTTATCCGCGGGAAGTGAAGCAAGGCGAAGAGTTCGGGCGGAGGGTGAGTGTTGCTTCGGGGATTATCCCGGAAGAAATACGTGGGATTTCACTGAGGTTGGGAGAGAAATTCAAAATTGTTGTCCCAATTACATGAATAAAACTTTCAGTTATAAATGGCAGAAACTCAACATCAAGTAGCAAAAAGGAAAAAGAGGGAAGAGGTGGTGATGGTGGAGTTATCGTCTCGAGTAACTAAACCATTGAGGAATGGTTCCCACTGCACTGGAACTATTAAAATTGGTTCATCAGTTGTCTGACTTTTTCTAGTTCTTGGACTGACTTTCCTTTCTGTTGGCCTCATTTTCTCCTGGTTCCAGGCTTCTCTTCCACCATCTAAGTTACGTCCCAGAAAAGTGTTTCTATTTGCCAAAGGGCCCAACAAAAAGACCCAGGGCTGCGTTTTTCATTTTCCTGATTCCTAGGTCATGGGTCCATCACCGAACCAATCACTGAGGCCAAGGGGAAGGGGGGAGGGCCTATGATGGACCCTCCGGAAACGTCCTGACTGCAGACTGGAGGCCCGGGCAAAGATTGGAGGAGAACGGGCACCGCACCTGAACCACACTTACTGAGAAGGGGGAGGGAAATAACCCAAAGGAAAATAGGAGTGTTCTCAGAGGGAAGCAGGGGAATGGATGTTGCCAGGCAGAATCAAGGACATGCACCGCTGCAGCCTCCCACCACCGCCCTCCCTGTCCGCCAGGGGGCGCCACTCACAGGAGTGCAGCGGTAGGGGAAAACCGTTTCGTTATCAATTATTAAACCTGCGCTGTGCTGGGTCCTTTACACTTTACACACATCACCCCTAATTTTGCAAAGTCCAGTCGAGAGGAAGACAATTGTCCTATTTCTCTAACAAAAACTTCAGTGCCTACAAGGGTTGATATTTATGTAACTATCTCTGCAGACTAGTTTTAAAACATTTTCAATATGTATTATGTCACTTGTTACATATATTTTTAATAACCTTTTAAAATAGAATAGGTATTTTCTTGCTAACAGCGATGAATTAAGCCCGAAGTGGTTCCCTGACTTGCCCATAGTCATACAGCTGGGACGCGGCAGCTGCTGCTCAGACCAAGACTCCGGGCCCATCCGCATCCATCCAACACTGCCACACTGACTAAGGTGGACCGTATTCATATGTCCCTGGGGGTTGTTTCACCTCCTTCTGACCTTCTATTGTATTTACCTTCCTCAGATCGCATGTAAATGTTTAGAGGAAGAGGACAGTTGCTCACCTTCCCCTAACCAGAGTCAAAGAAAAAAATTCCCTGGCTCAGTTGGCAAGAAGGGGCCCGAACCCCAACGGGCTGCCCCTGGGCTCCAGAGCCCCCATCGGGGTGGGGCTGGGGGGCGGGGGCGGACGTGGGCAGCAGAGCCCGAGACTACAGCGCTTCCGAGTGTAGCTGGAAAACAAGTTTAAAAAATAATAAATGATTTTAAAACAATCTCCACAGCCACTGTACAACAACTCCCTATTTTCCCCTTCCCTCAGCCCCTGGAAACCTCCCGTCTACTTTCTGTCTCTGAATTTGACGGTTTAATTCTCAAATAAGTAGAACCGGACAGTTTTATCTTTTTGTGGCGGGCTTATTTCAATCAGCATAATGTCCTCCAGGCTCATTGGTGTTGTAAGAATGGGTCAGAGAAGAAACCTAACTAGGACTTTGAGGTGACAAAGGGTTATCCACAGGAGGACTGGACAGTTTCAACCAGAGCCAAAATTCACGATGCCACTGGAAAAAATACACGTGTGGCCACTTCCTTACTGAGCCGGTGACCTTCAGGAATACCTACCAAAACAGCCTTTCACGTACTACTGTGAGATGTTTGCAAGGATCGAGTGTGATATGAATTTGTCCCTGGGTACAGTAAATTTAGGAGATTCTAATATCAGTTCGGCTTGTGTGAGAGAGAACACGTACAACCCTCTAAAACAAGCTCATGTTTTAAACTGGACCTGAAGAAAAAGATGCTACAAACACCGAATGAGCTGTTATTGATTTATTTATGCCCTACAGGGGCCCCGGCATTTGTACAGCCCCCTCCAAATTAAAGGCACATAATTAATTTGAAGTTTGGCAAAGACAAACATCTGATCTTAATGTTTCTTGTACACTCATCAAGCATGCAACTATGCTTGAAGCCGTTCAGGCCTGTGATTGGTTTTAACCAGTCTACGGACAGCTCGCCGGCCTTTCCCTGTCACGGAGACTGGCGTGCCGGATGCATGGGGCCATCTGTTGCCAAAAAGAAATGCAGTTCAATTATTTAGGCTGACACTTTGCATACCTATGGCTGAGTTCTCTGAGGTGTAAGAGCCTTTCAGGATTTACGTACTTGGCTTACTGTACATGACATAGCAAACTACAGCTATGTCCACAGTCCAGGGCCAACTCTGTATGTGATTTCTCTATTGTCGTCCTGTCTTCTATTTCCAAGGCTGTTTTTTTCCCTCCATTGAATTGATCTGTGCCTTCTGTGTCCAACATTAGGGGAGGGCAGGGTGTCAGCAGGGCTGTGTGTGTATGAGAGACAGACAGACAGACAGACAGAGACAGAATATGAACGGGAAGCTGGATTTTGTAACCACCATCCCATCTACCACCCCACTTCAGAAACTTCAGTTATAGTGCCTGTATTCAGAGCCTGGCTTTGTAACTAACCAGCAACTTCTCGAAATTCACATAGCTCAATTTCCACTTCTGTGAAGTGTGGATTGAAAATAGATTCCTCTGTGCTTGTTGGGAGGATTGGGTGGAATCGTTGAAAAGTGCCTTACACGTGTATAAGCCTGTATATGGTATTCAAAAAAATTGTTACAGTTTTATTTTCAAAATTATTAGTATTTTGTGACTATGGAAATAAAAATTATATAGCTATGAGGCAATTCAGAAATGTATAAAATATAAAATAACTAATCAGCACAGATAACACCTATTCACATTTTGATGTATGTTGTTCCAGCATTTGCTCTACCTATTTCGATATAGTTATAATCATATAGAGTACATAACCAACGGAATAATAGCTGTTATTTTGTGAGCATTTAAAATGTACTCGGTGCTGAACTAGACATTACACGTCCTTTTATAGATCTTTACAACCCTATTCAGTGGGTATTATTATCCCCACTCTTTAGATTCTTATCCTGTTGCGGAGGGGCGTGTGCTTAGCCTCGCTCCCTAGTGTGAGATTGGAAAGCTTTTCTGTATTAAGCCAGCATTTTACTCAGCAACAGCCAAACTAAACACATATTAACAGAAGTGAAGTGCATGAACTTGCTCTTGGCTTTTCCCTCCCAGGAGCCCCTTAGCCGAAATGCTGCCCTCAGCCTGAATATGACGGTCATTTTTCTGGAGGTGGGAACAATGGCATTACTCTCCCTCAGCCTGACTACTCTTAACTGTCTCATATAATTTTTCATCTGCAGAATCAGTGATTCTGTTTATAAATGTGTGTGTGGTAAGCTTCAGAATGAGCTATTAGCAAAAAAAAAAAAAAAAAAAAGGTTATGAGCATGGCCATGGGATATTCTACTTGGTGTGTTGTAGTTGTTTAAAATTGTGGGGAGCCTTGAAGACCCCTTGGGACTTTCCACTTGAGATTTGCTGCTCTCTTCATCTGACTCTTGGTTGTTTATGGAACTTGGAACAGGGCAATGGCAGTGCAGAGGGCAGAAGTTTCAATGGCGGTGGGATGGTGTCATTATGATCAGGGCTGTGTGTTCAGGAATGCTGGAATGACCCAGACACCCCTCCTCCAGGGGGGTTCCCCAGGGGAATATGGCTCAGGGTGAGAGCGTGTGGGAAGGGGCACGCCGCTTCATCATTAGCCAGGGGCCCACAGTCCCCAGGGCAGGGACTGGCGAGTGTGCTGGAGCACTGGCTTGGGCTAAAAGCGTGGCTGGGCCTCTGCCTCCTTCTTAACCCAAGCTGAAGCCCTGGCCAGGTCGCTCAGTTGTTGGAGCATCATCCTGATACGCCAAGGTTGTGGGTCTGATCCCAGTTAAAGCACATAAAAGGATCAACCAACGAATGCTTAAATAAGTGGAACAATAAATCCATGTTTCTCGCCCTCTCTCTCTCATCAATAATGAAATAGAAATATAAAAAAATAAACCAAAATTGACCACCAGGGGCTTTTACAGTTTAAAGGGATGAATATATTGCCAGGCCCACACTAAATAACATTAGCTCACATTCATGTTGTAACAGGCCAGGCACTTGACTTACATTAACTCATTTACTCCTCAAAATCACACTACTGAGGTAGAAACCATTGCTATTCTCATTTTAAAGTGAGGAAACAGAGGCATACAGAGGGAACAGGATGGCTGTGACTCTCAACAAGAGAGTTCCTGGAGGGCACAACGACCCTGCCCACTGGCAAACACGGTCTAGCCGGAGTCCCCACTGAATCAGGAGAAGACTAAGGTGGGGTCAGAGGAGAGCAGGGTAAACTCCCCCTCCCGCTCAACCTGCTTGAATTACCCAGGCGAAGCCATTAGACCCGTCACTGAAGCTGACCTCCCCCTGGTGGCTGCTCCATGAGCCAAGGCAAATGCTCGCCCCAGCTAGACCCCGGGAGCCAGCGCCCACAAAATAAAACAAAATGGCCCTGACACCACCCTCTTCCTTTCTGACATCCTGCCCTCCTCTCCTGGCTGCACTTGGCCCACCAGTCATCTGGCCTGTGCCCCATTCTGAAAGCTCTGGTGCCTCCCACTAGGATAAAGTCACTGCCTTTGGAGTCACACACAACTGGGTCAGGACCATCACCAGTGGGTTAGGCCTCTGTCACGCTGGGCAGGTTAACCTCTGTGAACCTCCATTTCCTCTTCCTTAAAGTGGAGATGGTGCCTCCTAGCTGGGTGCTGAAGGAGGGACGGGTGTTAAGCCCTTAGCTGCTGAAATGTTGCTGGTGGCATCTTAGCCACACTTGTGCCCCAACAGAGGTCCCCTGAATACTCAAAGGTCAGAGAGAACCCAGCGCTGCTGTGGCAGAATTCCAGGGACACAGCCAGGTGATGTTGGGGCCAGGGAGTTGTCCCCAAGTCCTTGATTCATTCAGACAAGGGCAGGGTTCTCCGCTTTCCCACTTGGGCGATGTAGAGGCTGGCTACACCCGGTGGAAACGGAGGCGGAGCTGGGAATCGGAGAGCTTCTCCAAAAGACTTTCAGTAACTATCAGAGTGCTTTGAAAAATAATGAAGCGGTATTTCATTTGAACATTTCAAAAAATTTTAGGCATTAAAAACATCAGTGGTACAGGCCACTTCCAAATGGAATGACTGCTCAATAGCTTTTATATGTAGGAAGGGAGTGCTGAGTCCAGGAGACACTTCTTAGTACAAACCCCATAGTCTCAGCATAAGCACAAGGCTTGGTAGAGCAGCTTCCCAAGCAGTTGTTGTGGGAAGAATCACCTGGAGATCTTCCCAACTGCGGACTGATTCAGTAGGCCCGGGACCGTGCCTGAGACTGCATTTCTAATAAGCTCAGCTTCCAGATGTTACCCGCGCTGCTTGTATAAGGGCCACAGTTTGAGAATCAGTGTGAGGAATCTATCTCTGCCTCCCGTGCTTATTTTGGTCCAGTGGGTCATTTGCTGAGAGCTCCTGCTCAGGTACACATTATCTCCCTGTGTATTTGCGTGAGTCCCTGATTATCTTCTCTGTCATCACCAACGGCCTGAAAACTCCCCCAATTAGAAAAATCGCCTGGTCTTCTCCCGCAGCCCCTACCAGAAATTGCTGCAGGGAGTCAAACTCTGTAACTGAACCCTAGGCGGCCTCCCAAGCTCGCCCTCTGCTGGTGAACAAAGGTCATTTTTTCCCCAAACCTTCAACCTGCCCTTTGTACAGAAGTTTCATGACATATTCCAGAGGTTCATTTCACTTGTCTAGATTTGGGGGAAATTTCCTTAAAGTAAATCCATCAGGGGGGAGATACGTATGATCAACACTTACTAGCATCTTACCATTCTGTGTGTTACCTGAATCCTCCCCACCCCAACTTTCTGCAGTGGGGTGGGAAGTATCCATGTGTTGCTCAGAGCCTGATCATTGCAAGGTCAGGAGGAAGTGACAGTTTCCTTTGATCCAGGCTTGGGGCCGACAGTGGAGACAACACAGACACAAATGTCAGGAGCAAAGGACATTTCAGAGAAGCATGGAGCGATGGGGAGACTCGTGCTACTGATCATGTTGTCAGTATTCATTCATTAAAACATTTTAAAATCACCTACCAGTTTTACGCTAGACTTGGGACCAAGTCTAGAAGCTGAGCGCTTCTAATCCCCACACACAGAGAGACTGTAGCCTACCAGGGGAAAATAAGCATAATAGCTAATACTTACTGGGTTTATACAATCAGACAGTGGCATACACGTCTGGAGCCGGGGCTGGGATGTCTAAAACAGACAAGGACTGCACAGGCATCTCTGGCCACGTGGCCCCTGACCACATGGCTGGGTGGTGCTGCCTCACTCACATCTTAGCAGTCAGAATGGCTGGACATCTTGGATGGCAGTCGACCAGGCAGAAACTGCAAAATTTATTAGGATCTTGCATGTAAAAGCATACCACATGCCCGGGTTGTGGGCCAGGTCCCCAGTAGGGGGCGCACGAAAGGCAACCACATACTGATGTTTCTCTCCCTCTCTTCCTTCCCCTCTCTCTAAAAATAAATAAATAAAATATTTTTTAAAAGCATACCACATCAATTGCACTGTATTCTGTTGGTCAACACAGTTACAGTTCAGCTGAGATTCAAGGTATGGCCTCTGTGTCAGTAGGGGAGGAACAACTGATGAAGACCATCTCAGAGACAAGTCACCACACCAAAACTTGACCCCGAGCAGCCCAGCTCAAACCAATGTGTGCTCAGGAGTTATGCTGTACTAACCCCCACTTAACGCAGACACGGTTGCACTATACGCCGCTGGCATCGGTAGGGTAACGTGGGAGTCAGAGGTAGAAGCGATAAGCTCCGCCTCAGTAGGTCGGAGAAGGCTTCGGAAAGGACACACCACACACACGTGCACATGCCCCTCCCCCTAGTGCGGAGAATAGACTGTGGCCACCTCGGCTCGCCTTTTATGTAGTCCCTGCATTATGGGACGTGGCAAAGGCAAGAGACACCTCTGAGGCATCACGGGAAACCACGGACTTGGAAATAAGGAGCCACCGAGTCCAGTCCCAGCTCTGCCACGATGTGGTTCTAGGACCTCAAAAGGAATCGGAAGGCCATGAAAGGGGAGAGGAGGGAGGCCTGGTCCTGCCCGGAGCATCGCAGGATGGAATCTCTGACCGTGTCGTGCTCCCCACCCCCAGGTCGGAGACCCGCACTTGGTGATCTGCATGGACTGCTCGGCAGACACCATGACCAGCCGCCTTCTCCAGAGAAGCCAGAGCAGCCCGGGCGCAGACAGCACCGCCACCATCGCCAAGCGCCTGGAAGCCTATTACCGGGCAGCCATCCCCGTGATTGCCTACTACGAGAAGAAAACGCGGCTGCACAAGGTAAACCATTTCCCTTCCCCCTCCACATGAGCCAGTTCCCTTTTTTTTTTTTTTTAGGTGAAAAAACCAGGACAATTTTAGTTAAGGGAACTGGGAATTAGAACTGCACAATTTAGGCCAAAATATGGGTCCCTTACTCTTTTCACTTCTGTTATCAATCAAAATTAAATATTTTTCAACATATGGACTATGAAGTCTGGTCGTACAATTTTCACAGCTGCCATTATAATTGCTGAAAACAACTCCTTTTTCCAAAAAAAAAGAGTGAGGAAGATGGGAAGGCGGGGGAGGCATCAGTTCTGCCTTCTAGACCTGAGCTGAACAAGATGATCTAAAAGATCTCTTCTAGATCTAAGGTTCAATGACTTTGAACTTCTAGATTTTTACACAGTTCATCATTGGCACTTGTCTCCTTGCCTCGATGTCTTGCAATAACTGTTACTGAAAGAAGCAGTATACATACGGGGCCAGGAGAGCATGTAACTAGGAAAAGCAGTGAAGATACTGTGGGGGAAATGGGTCGTATCCACTTAATGGTGCCAAGTCACCACTGTCATGAATCTGGGGAAGCTACAGAACCCCATTCTTTCACTCATGTAATAAACATGAATCAAGCACCTCCTATGGGCGTCCATCGCCTAGTGGTTTGGATGCAGCTAATAAATGCAGTTCCTGCCCGCAAGAGCTCAGAGCTCTAGTAGGGGATAGAGACAAACCTGTGATCACAGCAGGGCGTCCAGACAAGCACCAGGTGATTTACAAAGGCCCTTTAACCAAGTCTAAGCAGGAAGGAAAGGCATTGTGGGAGGTCCACCAGGTCGACCCTTGAGGTGGAGGGAGATATAAGGGGAGCAGGCAGTCCCCATGGAAGGATCTCCCTGCGAGACAAGTCAGGAGGGACAAGGAACTCAGCTTGGTTGTGATACAGACTGCCCAGGAAAAGAAGGGTAAGACACAGGGCTGGCAGGCTAGCAAGGGCCAGATCAGGATGAACCTTTAACTGTACTGTGGGCGGTGGGTGGTGGGAACTACAAGGGGCTTCCATTTGGAAAGCTCAGTCCATCAACCTTGTGGAGAACAGATCCCAAGAAGGTAAGGCTAGGAGACCACTGGGAGGCTAGAAAGGATTCCAGGCACAATATCCTGAGGCCCCCAAAGAACAATAGGGAGAATGAAGGTCTACTTCCCGCTGTTCATAAGAGACATCAATTCTTACAATCTGTATCTGAGGCAGCTGCAGCTGTCGATTCCTTGGGAGAAGGTGTTTGATAATGAATCCTCCATTTTCCAGAATTTAAGAACTTAACCCTGGATCTAGGCGTCTGAAAGGTGTCCCTTGATTTCACGCCGAGATGTCAAATATGTGGCAGGCGTTGCCAATCCATCGTTGCCAGGAAGCACGAATTTTCCTGCAGTACCCAGATGTGGCCTCAGGATGTTCTTAGCACAGCTCTTCAAGCAGCCCCTGTGGCTAGGACTTGGTGTGCAAACCGAAAGCTCTTTACTGTGCTTCGTGTAACCTCTGGTTGCCCCATAAAACAAAGACTTGGGTCTTTGAAAACAAGCAGACAAAAAATGCATTATACAAGAGCAAGGGCTTAAGCGTTCAGGGTTGTAAAGGCCTTTCCAAGGTTAGTGATTTCCATACTTTGTGCAGCCTGGAACATATGCAGAAATTATTCAGACAGAAGGGGATTTCTCCCACTTTGAAGATTTACAGAGGTGAAACAATCCCTAAATAATTCAGAGTTTAACCATTTTCATAGTCAGAAAATCCTGCTGCTCTTTCTCTTGCATTTTTCCAACCTAAATTCTCCACGCTCACAAATGATGGGCGCGTGGACACAGGGCTAACCGAGTTCTCAGACACAACTGAGTTCTGGAGACCTCAGAAATATCTAAGTTAGTGGGAAAGGAAGTTCCCAGTTCCATTTGGCTCATCTCTTCAGCTTCCCCTCCATCCTGGTGATGCTGGCAGTTGGGTCCGCAATGAGGTAACGTTTTGCAAATGTTTAAAACCGCTTTGTAAATATTTAAAACTTCTTCAGCCCCGACTCCAGTGCAGTATGGGCTCCCACCCTCAGGACTCCCAGGGGACCCTCCTGAGGAAGCTGCTGGGTCCCAGTGCCTCTGCCTGGCCCCATCCTCCACCAATGCAGCTGCAGAGTTTTAAAAAAACAAAACCAAACCAAAAACTTCCTCCCTACCTAGATAGTGAAAGGGAGGGTAGAGGATGGTGCCCAGGGAGGTGAGAATTGTTTGCAGGTGCCCCTGTGGGGTTTGCCAGTAGGTCAGGAGAGGGACAGGTGTGTTTTCCAGGGGACAAAGGGAAACCTCTCTTCCTTCCTGCTTCCTGGCCTCTGGGCTCCTGTCCAGTCTTCTTGCAACAGCTTAATCTCCCTCTGAATTCCAAGTGACAGTTTGTGTCTTGTTCCTGATGCTCTGTGGACTGTTAGCACTTCGTCCCTGTGTCACTGGTTACTAGGCCCAAAACAGTGCTGCTCACCACCCCTGGGGCTCTTGGATCATTAAAGGACGTCTCTTAAAACTAGATGGGGCTGATGAATGCAATTGGAGACACAGGTGGGGCAGATCAGTAGCTCGGCGAGACCGAGCCACCCTGTGGTCCAGCCGGGAAGAGACGACCCTGCACGAGCACGTCACTCTGGCCTCCATGGTGCCCGGTATGTCTTGGTGACTCCATCACCTGACACCCAGCCTAATGACAGTAAGCCCCTTTGGCCCTGAGCTATCCAAAAAAAAAAGTGCAATGCAATTCCAAACAAAAGTAAAATGTGAAAAGAGAAATTTCAAACAAAGGTAATTTTAAAAAAGCAAAGCAGAATTTGTACAGCTACTGCCTCATTCCTTATGTCCTTATAATGCCATCATCATTCAGTGACATCAGAACGTCTCTTAACATAAACCAAGGGACAGCGGCCTGTGTGATACCGACAGATCCCCTGGGTGTGCGGCCGTTTCCCGCTCTCTCACAGGGCCAGCTTTGCCCAGCATCTGACAGCGTTAGAGCAGAACGCCTGCCATCCAGCCCCTCTCTGCCCGCACTCAGGGCAGACAGCAGTCATCACCTGCGGCGCCTCTTTCCCACCCAGTCTGCATGCTGCCTCAGTATCAGTGTGGAAACTCAACGCGGCAGTGCGACAGTCACACCCAATTCACTGGAGTCAGCCTGTAAAAGAAGCTTTCCCCCCACCAAAATGAGAGAACTTGTTACTGAAAAAATAGTTGAAATGCGGCATGTCGGGATGAAAAGCACAATGACCGGCCAGAGTCCCTGGTAGGGAAAAGGTCAGCCTGGGAGTCACAAAGCCGGGGCCTGGCGGTGAAGGGGCTGTGTGCACCTGGGGGTCACTTCACCCTGCAACCTCTCAGCGACGCACCCCGAAACGAAAGGGACGGACCGATGCGGTCCACCGGGGCCTACCCCGCTATGATTCTCGGGAAAAAATATGCATTGTTTCCTTGTCATAAAAGTGACACGTACTGGTTTTAGGAAGTTAGGTCATCCCACCGCTCAGAGGAAACCATTCTGAAGTGTTTCCTCCAAAAGCATTTTTGCTGTGGATTTTCAAAACATGACTGCGGCCACAGACACATTACTTAGGGCTCCTTGGCTGTAAGGGGCAGGCAGCAGCTCCAGCTGGTGTAGCCCAAACCAAAACGTGATGATAGAGGTGTGCGACCCAAGGCGGAGACGCTGCAGGCCCCGCAGGCTGTGGGACCGGGCTCCCCGCTGCCTCTGACCCCCGTGTCTTCTCTTCGTCTCTGTCGTCTGGGTCTCTCCCTCCCTCCGGCCCAGGAGCCAGAACATGGCCACCCTGCTACTCCCACATTCACATGTCACCTCAGAAGTTCCAAATTCTGGAAATTTTCTGATTGGTCTTGCTTTGCTCAGGGTCCTCTCTCCTGTCCTTTAAGCCAAGGCCAGACACATGCGATCACATGGGGCTTTTTCTTTTGTTCTGTGGCTATTATTTTGAGTGAAAACTACATGTCAGATACTATTCTTGGTGCTGAGACACAGCGGTACCCACCCCCCCAACACACACACACTGAAAAGAGAAAAACAGACAAGGAAGTAAAATGATTTCTGATAAGATAAGCTCTGTATAAAACAAAATACAGTACGTGTTGCGAGTGGGTGTTTTAGGTGGTTGTCTGGAAAGCCTCTGAGGAGGCCACGCTTGAATTCAGAGCTGAGTGGGGTAAGCACATGTCCTAGGACTCTTCCCTTGGGACTGGGCGAGGGACAAGAAATTCCCAGAAGAGAAGGGTATGCTGTGAACTTGGGGGAAACCCAGACATAGCTATGTTCAGTGGCTTATACAAAGTTTTATAAATTGATATTTTAAACCTCTCTTTTTGCTAAATATGAAAGTAACCACTACTTCTTTTTTAAAGAAACAAACTAGAAAATTTAGGAATATAAAGATAAAAAACTATCCAGAATTCTTGCATCCAAAGATAGGCACTCACGAACATTTTTGATGCATTTTCTACATCTACTATTCTCTGTTTGTCTGTATGTGTTGCTCATGGTATAATTAGCCCACAAACATCCCAGGCCACTGATGAAGACTGCCTGATAACAGGTGATATCAGTCCCTGCATTACTTATAGTATTAACCGTTAAATAAATGAAAAGAGAGGCCAGTGACTCATTAAACATGCATTTTTCACATGCAGAAAATCAAGTTCTTTGGCAACCCTGGTTTTGTAAAGGAGAAAATAAACATATGGTTCAGCGATTCTCCTGCTGCAGTGTCACAACTCTGCGACTAGTTTAGCAGTTTTTAGTAAGTCCTGAAGCACTCCAGCACCGTCATCGTTCTGGGTGGTCATCTAACCTGACCGCAGACTACAGTGAGCTGAGGAGAGCAGGGCAGTTCCTGGTACTACGGTGAAAGGAGGGGAAGGCAGAAGGCACCGTAAGTGCTGGCCAGGTGGCTCAGTTGGCACAGTTGGTTGGAGCATCGTCCTATACCCTGAAAGGTTGTGGGTTTGATTCCTAGTCAGGGCACATATTTAGGTTTTGGGTGGTCGGGGCAGGTACCAGAGACAACTACTAGACGTTTCTCCCTCATAGCGATGTCTCTCTCTCTCCTGCCCCCCATACTTCCTCTTTCTAAAACCAATAAGCATATCCTTGGGTGATATGCTTCTTTTAAAAAAAGAAGAAGAAAGTACCCTAAAGTCAAATTTCACCCCTTGGATGTAAAATCCAATTGCAATCAACTGGATTCCTAAGTTTGGAGCCTAACATAAGTAAAAAAAAGCCCAAAATTAACTTCTTACCTTCAGTTCCCTGTACTTGAGTTCTTCATGCTGATTCTTCTTTCAGTTGGTTAAAGTCACTTCCACTCATTTTTAGTTCGGTGTCTCTGCAAACACCTGAGAATATCATTGTAGTGGCTTTACCTGCAAATGACAGTTTCATAATCTTTTTCTCTCAGTAATCAGTGAGCATTGCTCCGCTGTCTTCAAGCAGCTCGTGTGACAGAGGAAAGGCAAGGACAAACTTGGAAGTTCACTTTTTTCCCATCAGTATCTTTAGAGAAATTTTAAAAATTTTTTTCATGTAATTGAAAACTTGTGTCCACATATAAGTCTGCTTTCACTGATTTTTCACTGGCCTAGATTCATGTTTACCCCCCTCCCAAAGCATTCTGTACTTATCCTCTGACTTTTTGATCTACCCTGGTCTTTGTTTTCCCCCCAAATTCCTCAAAAACACAAAATTCGTGGGTCTCTTCTCTCTTCCTTCTACACCAGGCTCTGACCAATAGAAACGTTAAGGTGAGTCACAGACGTAATTTCCAGTTTTCTGGGAGCCACATTTTGAAAAATAAAAACAAACAGGGGACACTGACTCCGGCGAGTCTGGGAACCCGGTGTATGTCACCCTGACAGCGCATCTCAGTGCAGGGCGGCCCCCTTCGGGGCTCACTGGCAACGCACTGTGGGGACTTCCTTGCAGGGCACAGCTCTCCATCTGCTGTATAACCCTCTCCGTTATTTACTTTATTTTTTCAAAATTGTCAGTTATCTCCTTTCTAGGAGAAATCCTCAACTTGTCTTTCCTATTACCGACTCAGCTTTTCATACCGTCATTCCTGTTCTCCAGCTACCACCGTCAACTTCAGTTCTCGTGTGGGGTTTTTTGATTGCTCGCTTCTTTAACCGTAGCTTAGCCTTTCCATCCGCTGCCTTTCAGTCACAGTCTGTTCTCAGGCCGTGACTTCCTGCTCTTATTTCATAGCTGCCTGTGTAAGCTTCCCATGTCTGTGCGCTGTTCACAGTAACCACAGTAAACAGCAATCGTCCCCCTGTGTGGTCTCATGGCACTGTCTCTTTCTCCGCCTTTGAACTTATCATGCTGTTATAATTCTTTACTTTCTGTGGCTGCCAGTGGAAAATGAATTTTTACATCTGTCTCGTTCACAGCTGTACCCCATGTGTGCCGCACAGTGCCCAGTACACGTGGTGGGGGGCACTCAGTAAATACAGGGGGGTGCAAAAGGAGGTCTGTGGTTGTTTGTAAGGAAAGGAATACAATAATTACTCAACAGTAATGCAAGAATAAACTGTTTCATGTACTCTCAACTACAGACTTCCTTTTGCCCACCCCTGTATTTACTGTTGAGTATTCCAAATTTTTTATTTGAAATTTTTCCTGTTTCTGGTTTTTATGGTTTTCAGAGGTCTCCCTATCTTCTGAGTCACTATAGGTTTTCTTCCTTCAAAAACCTCAATTTGTCTTAAGTTGACTTACCATCTTGTCCTGCTTACATACTGCCGTACGACGAAGCACCCGGGACGCAGCTTCATCCCACCACAAACATGATGTGCACCCGAGCCTTCTGTGCATCAGGAATCTGGAAAAGGCACAGTGGGGACGGCTTCCCTCTGCGCCCCGGGGTGTGGGCTCCCGGGCTGCTGTCTCCACTCTGAGACTGTCCTCATTCACAGGTCTGGGGCCTGGCCTCGGAGGCCTTAGCTGGAACTGTCAACCAGAGCACCTCCCTGTGGCCTCTCTAGAATAGCTTGTGCTTGCCACAGCATTGCCCCTGGGTCCCAAGGTGGTGGTACCCCAGGGAGTGAATGTTCCCAGAGACCAAGGCAGGAGCTGCAAGTCTCCTGACCTGGGCCAGGAAGTCACACAGCATCGCTTCTACTATACTGGTTACAAGAATGCCTCTAAGGTCAGGTTCAAGGGGAAGGAGATCATACTTCATCTCCTGATGGGTGAATGGCAAGGTCACATTCAGAAGAGTATGTGGGGTGGGAGATATAGTTGCAGCCACCTTTGGAAACTATAACCTGTCACATCCTTCAGCTTAGGGTGGAGATGGGGGGGATGCCTCCAGACTCACAGGATGTACAGATTATCGTTAATCTCACGTTCTGTGCCCTTGAGTACTGACAGCGCTCGGGCCTGCTCACGTCCGGCCTTCACGGGAAGGCACGTTGGGGAGCACAGCTCCCCGTCTGCTCCCTAGCACCTGGGAGGCTCGCACCCAATGTGGGATTTCACCCCTTGATGTGCATCCACCCCAGGACTCTTCCTGCCTGCACCGCGAGCTGTAGTTTGGACTGCACCCCCTCTCAGGTGGCCTTTACATAATACAGTCTTAACTTATCAAAAAAGACATCCTGGGGGGTGGTGAGGAGCACAGAGAAAATAACCCTTGCCTTTGGAAGTCATGGCCATGGAGCAGAAAGACAGATTCCTGCTTTTCTGGTTACTTTCTAAGTCAGGAGCCCACGATGGAATCTACTTCCACTGGCAATAGGTCAGATTTTTTGAGACTGTCCATCTTCTCCCGGGTCTCCACGGGTGCTCTGCTGGGATGTTGGGAGAGGCTGTATGAAGGAATGCTTGCCAGATCCATGTACCCCAGGACGTAGGAGAGGGGGGACTTCCCCTCGAGAGTCTATGAAGATCAGATAGGCTAATACTGCCATTGTGTATGCATTTCTCTGAAATATCTGGAAGTCGATACAAAATGCAGTAATATTTCCTTTTAAATCATTATGTAATGTTCCATAATGTAGAGACTCTGTAGTTTACTCCAGCAGTTTATTTCCAGTCTGGTTGCATCTGTCTGCTACTAACAACCGTGCAGTAAATGAATGCCTGCCTAAAGGCTTTGGCTTCTGGTTGAAGAGACACGGCTATGTTGAGCAGAGGCTTTTTTTTTTTTTAAACCCACTTGTTTCCACTTCCCTTTGTCTCTACGTTGCCCTGAGAAGAGGTCTTTGAACATAGAAAAGCTTTGGGGTTCCCCACTTCCTGGATGTTTGGCCCCTCTTATCAATACCCACCTCAGTTTAGTTCACTTCTGTCTTGAGCCTGAAGCCTCGATCTGGGTTCAGTCTGGACCTGCCTGGGTCGAGTGCCACTAGCAGCCTGGATGTGGAGAGGACCCTGCCTCCTGCCAGCCTTGTAACAAAGAAGCTCATGAAGGCAAAAGGACGTCAAGGAGCCCTGAGGTGTGACCTCTCACTTGACCAATGAGGCATAAATCTTCCCTCTGTCTCTGAGAGACTTACAAAACTCCTTTATGATTCTGCTTGAAATAGTCTTCTCTCCCCTCCCTTCCTGATTGTCAGGCCTTCACTGGATTCCCGCAAAGAGCTTTGATTCGGTGCAAACTCTCTGCAGCCCTGTGGCCCTGCAGAGACGCACTGTGCTCGGTGCTCCTCTGTGTCCTCCCAGAATACCGGGCAGAAGAGACCGCCGGGCCTCTGGACTCCTCTGCGAGCTTTCTCAGTTTGCTTCCTGTGGGTTGCTTTAATCACACGGCCGCGGGCTTTGCTTTTGCTCATATCAGGGCAGTCAGTGCCTTCACTTCACTTTAACTCAGAACCTCTCCCAGAGCTACTGCCATGTTTCCACCAGCAGAGAATTGGTGCAGCTCCATCTAAGGCCCCTGGCATTGCCAGACATTGATGGGGCCTCTCGAATGCCCAAGGCATGGTGCTTAATGCTGGGAATTCAAAGGGGAAAGAGACTCATGAAACTGTGCCCACAGGATGGTGGTAAAAACAGCCCTAAGATTCACAGAATGTTCCAGGTTTTGGGGAGCACAGAGCTTGCCCCTGGGAAGGTAGGTAAAGGCTTCATTCAGAGGGGAGGACATTTGAGCTGGGTCCTAAAGGATGAGCTCAAGTTCACAACAGATGGAGAGGAGTCAAGGCCACTGACATGTAAAAGAGCCCAATAAGGTTAGTAAGATGGGGGGGCCAACAGGTAAATTAATGCAGTAGCAGGCTGGACTAAAAGGCGAGGTTGAGGCAAGACTGTGAAGGGCCTCGAGTCCATTCACTCACTCGATAGATTTTCTAACCAGCATTGTCCAGTAGAAATATAATGTGGGCTACATCTGTATTTTAAAAGTTTTAGCAGTCATATTAACAATGGCAGAAAAGTAGAAAGAAATAAGTACAATTAATTTAATAATGCATTTCATTTAACCTAATATATTCTAAGTATTATTTCAACATGTAATCAGTATTAAATTATTGAGATATTTTTACATTCTTTTTAAACTATGTCTTCAAAATTTGGTACTTAAGTATATCTTAATTAAGTTGCTAAATTATCATGAGAAATACTAACACTGGATTTATGTTTCATAAAATTTACGGTTGAAACAATAGATTTCACATACTCAAGTTGTTCCAACATATATATGAATTTTCTAATAACTGGGTTAAATGCTAGTTTTAAAAGTTAGACTAATTTTAATTCCATAGAATCAAAACTTCCATTCCTCAGTCATACTGGCCCCCTTTCAAGCATTCAGAAGCCACCTTTGGCTGCTGTTATTGGATCACACAAAGTTCTAGAACAACCTAGAAAATTTGCCCTACATATGCAGATAATGGAAGGGACCATTTTAAACAGGGAAATGACTAGTTACTTAAGTTTTAAGAAAGTGACTTTGAGAAAGGATAGATTTTTCATTTCTGTAAGAAGATATGGTTGTCAAATTTCAACTCCAGACAGAATTGAGAAGAGGAGGAGAAAGAAGGATAGTACCTTGTAACATTTCAACTAGACAAACGGCTTATGTTTTGGGAAGTCCTATGCACAGAGAAGCTGTAAACACGTAGATTATAATCCATCCTTGGATTGTTGCTAACACTTGACCTTAACTCTCCCTAAAGTAAAGGGATGCATGGTCCTTCTTTTTATGGCCTCGTGAGTGAGGAGGAGGAGGTGGCCTGACCAGGTTTGTAAAATGGTGACTCCCCCGGAGCAGTCTTCACACAACCTTGAGTCTGAAAAATGCAGCTAACGGTTGTCCCCAGTGGTGCCCAGGTGCTGCATGTTCAGGACACTGGCCTTGGCCGAGCCCCCGCTGCTGTCCTCTGGCGGTGAAGGACCCCGTGGTGTGAGGCTCTGCTTTCACAGAGGACGAGATTAGAAGAGGAAGGAGGTGCTCGCTGACTGACCATAAACCACTCTGTGATAGGCTGTGTTTGTCCCAGAAGCCCCATGGTGCCAGTACATCAAATGCGAAACTAAAAATCAAGCAATCTTTTGAACAATGTGGGGCAATTCAGGAAAAACACAACTGGATCTTGAAAGGTTTTCTTAGGCTCCGCGGAGGAAGAAGTGCCAATCAGCCACAGAGTTAGGCAGCATAGAGCTTTATTGGGGTTTGCAGACCCAGGTGAGGTTCTCTGGTCCACAAAGTGGGGGCTGAAGAAGCCGCGCCCAAGCAGGGAATGTGGCAGCGTTTTATTTTTGTTGGCTCTTTGTGGGAGCTGGGGATTGGTCCCCTTTGAACAAAGCGGCAACATATCATTGGTGGTTCTTCTCGGGCTCAGGTTGCTATGCGATAAAGCCCGCCCTTTCAGCTCCCTGGTTTGCCGTCTGCCATCTTTTCCGGGATGTAGTTCAGCCACCATTTTGTCCTACCCCGCCCATCCTGACAGATCTGGACAGCGTTTGAACCAGCCAGCTGTTTTATGGTTTCGAATTCATAGAACTAAAGAGGAAGAAAGGCAAATCACGCACCTCCCCAAGCGGTGTGACTGCTTCCCTAACGCAGCAGTGCATTCCCACCGCTGACCTCCCTGCTCCACAAGTCAGGTGAAAACTCAGACATAGAACCCTGTTTCCTGTTCATTTGCTATTAGCTATTTTCTTTTTGTAAATCTTTTTAAAAGATTTTATTTCTTTTTAGAGGGCAAAGG